AGCTCTGTGGCCGCGGGGGAATAAATGTTGTGGTGGGTCTGGTGGGTCAGTCGGCTCTGCGAGGCGGATGTTGTTGGAGCCGCTGGCACGGCTTTGTGCTGGGATCGCCCATGAGATGTTTAACCTCCAAGAGTCTGATGGAAAGCTGAGAGATACGCAATAGGAAATGGGGGCTGCTGCCTGCTAATCCCCGCTCTGCTGCCTGCCTGTGAGCAGGGCCGTAACTGGAGGGTGTCGGGCTTTGATGAGGAGTTGGGAGCGCCGATACATGGTTTAATGTTCAAAGACTGAGCTAGAAATTGTGGATTACTAGGAAATTGGGGTAAGCCCTCCATTCAAAAGGCTTGTGTGACCCCAGAGACTAAAGCTTAAATTGCCCAGCTTTAACCACGCAGGTGTAGCTGAAGCAGCATAACCTTCGGGTGGGAATATCGGTGCAGCATGCCCTTACTGCGGTGTAACAGCGTGCTGCCGGACTTCACCAGCGTGGAACGGGATGCACGTTTTGTACAAAGCAGGGCCTGGGCTCCTCTTTTTCAAAGTGGGTTTAGTCTGTGCTCAGGGAGCTGCAAAGCTTAATTAAGATCCTTAAAAGGACAAAAGGTGCTACATAAATTCAGGGGATTATTATAAATGTCACCGCGCTTTACAAGCTCTGGCAAAACTCACAGGAGGAATAACAAGACCTTTCACTTCACAGCCCTTCCTAGCAGGGCTACTTAGAGCTTCATGCTTCAACATAGCAGCCGTACAATGTTGACATTTATAATTAGATGTGCATAATAATCTCTTTATTCCCAAACTGAAAAGACAGGGTGTGTCTTGAAACGTCAGTTCCTCCTTCTGCATGCCGAGGATCCCCCTCATTGGGACTGCTCACGAAACCATCGTTTGGTGAAATGTCTCGGGGCCCGGTTTGAAGGGGGACCGGATCTTTGCAACTCCCCCAGGGAGCTATGGGCTGGGCACTTAGGGAATAAAATCAAAGCCTCTGTGTGTTTTTAATCTGATTAATTGATGATAATCTAGTGGTATCATGCAGCAAAAGCTGTCCAGCTTTATTAGGCAATCTCTTGTTTTAAGAGAACTGTGCTTGGGGGAGCGCTTGGCTCTGGTGTTTCTGTTGAGGACTGGCAGAAATGGGTGAATTTTTGGTGGTTCTAGTGCTTTGTGAGAGCAGGATTAATTTGGGGCTCGGACAGATGGGGATCGGTGGATTTTGGTCCCCTGGGTGCCATCAGCAGCCTGTGCAGCCCCTCTGCCAGGGTGGTGGAGGGGGCAAAGGGCGGACCGGGTCGGTCTGGGGCTGAAGGTAGGGGATTGCCCCCCGGGGCCGGTCTCGCAGCACCGACCGGGTCGAGGATGGGGGATCGCCTCCAGGGGCCAGACCGGGAGCATCGGGTCGATCCCGGGTCGAGGATGGGGATCACCTCCCGGGGCTGGTCCAGGAACACCGAATCAGTCCCAGGTCGAGAATGGGGCCGATCCCGGATTTACCGGGTCGGTCCCGGGCCGAGGATGGGGGAGCTCTCACGGCGGGGGGGCGCGGCCCAG